TTTTTTTTTAATGTATTAGCTCGACCTGTAATCCGGTCATGGATCCGTCCCTGGTCATACCCCTTTGGACTTGGCTTTGTGTAATAGACACATCACCATTGTGAATCGACACGTCAGACATGATCCGGACCTTATTCGTGTCCCTGGGAGGGGAGGAATAACTCCTTTGCATTGTGTAGCGGAATCAGATGACAACATCGATCTTTTGATTAGATTTCTTATCATATGCCCGTCCTCAATCAAGGACGTGAACATTCGAGATGAACCTGCTGTGCATATTGCAGTTAGAAACAAAAACTTAAGAGGTTTTAAGGTTTTGCTTGGTTGGGTTCGTAGAAGTCACGACACAGCAGTTTTGAGATGCAGAGATGAGGGAGGCAATGCAGTTCTGCATCTTGCAGCTTTAACTCACCAGCTGCAGGTATTTTCTTTTTACTATACTTCCATTCATCTATTATAGAGCATACCCCTATACCTAGATAGAACCCAAAATATTTTGTTGAGAGCATTAGATCCATCTATGGTATTATTGTTCAATAAACCCCCGAAATTAATTTACATATCCTATTTCTTGGTTCAAGTTATGAAGTTATTAATCGGAATCGTAGATGTGAATGCCAAGAACAGGGAAGATAATACCGGCCATGGATATCATAGAGGACCTGGACCCACAACGTCGAAATGAAGATGCAAGGCTAATTTTTGGGCTTGCACGAGCTAAACGTGGAACATCACTTGTCGAGGATGCTACAGGTACCACTTGTGAAGATTACTTAAGTTCAGGGATAACGTTGATGGATATGTTAATGGAAGTGGGTGCTTATATGCGGTGCTGATTGCAACTGATACATATACACTATTAGAAAGTGCGGCTTCAGCGATGGAAACAAAATGCATTAGGATAGAAGGAAATCAACGATGAGGAAATTCATTGAATGTGGAAGGAGATGAGAAAGACGGGTCGTCACATTCCCATTAATGTCAACCAGAATTAATTCTTCTAGGGTCCCATTGTGAGATAAAAATACAAAAAAAGGGCTGCTTAGATTTGCAACCATAGGAAAATTTATTAAAATGAGCTGAAAAATTGGAAACAAACAGTCTGTACTCAGATCAGATCCAATTGAAATACTCAGAGCACTTTTCGAGTTTGCAGAATGAACACTGTTCAAAATCCAGATATCGTTGCCTTATATAAAAAAATACACGAAAATCCAGAGTACTTGGATGTCCCAAATGAGATGACATTTGTGGTGTCACCTCTTCATACTGCTGCTTCGGAAGGCCGTACCGGCCTTGCCCTTGAAATCTTGAGGCTAAAGCCTTCGCTGGGGAAGAAATTGAACCTTGATGGTTTTAGTCCACTGCACCTGGCTTTGGATAATGGACACACCAACACTGTGAAACGACTCGTCAAGCGTGATCTGGAGCTCATTCGTGTCCAAGGGAGGGAAGGGATCACTCTTTTGCATTATGCAGTGGAAAAAAATAACATCGATCTTTTGATTTATTTTCTTCTCGTATGTCCATCCTCAATACATGACTTGACTGTTCGAGATGAGACTGCTGTGCATATTGCTGTAAGAAACGAAAACTTAAGAGCTTTTAAGGTTTTGAGTGGTTGGATTTTGAAGACCAGTAATAGAACAGTGTTGCGAGGGACAAACGAGGAAGGCAATACCGTGATGCATCTTGCAGCATTAACAAACCAAACGCAGGTATGTTCCTATGACAAAACCTCCATTTATTTAATTGAGAATGAATCTCTAAAAGCTCCTTAAATTATTTTTCATCAATAAATAATTCTTTTATTAAACTTGATGCTGAACCCGACCCACCGCTAGGAAGCGAATACAGGGCTCATGTGAGGCTTGTCCAAGCCAGTGAAATTATTGACCCTGTAAATCCCAAGAAAGTACTAAAGCAAAGAACACAAAGTTTTTATCTAGGTTTGTTCTTAGGCATGTTTGATGTAAGAATTTTTTAGAATAGATTTTATAAAAAATGATATTTTTGAAAAAATATGATTTAAAACAAAGAAAAAGTTATGGGTTCACGTACAAAATTATTTTATTATAATATGGCTGATTAAAGATGAATTTAAAGAAAAATGAGCTTTGAAAATTTTGAATTAAATAGAAATTAGGACTCTCGCATCCGAGTTGATGTCTACTTTGATCTCCTATGGATCTTCACCCTATTTCAAGGTTTAGAGTACAGTATGGATGATTACTGAGATTAATTTCAAAGCCCCAAATTTTCATCTCAGACAATCAAAATTATTTAGATATTTGGTAAACTTGATATAACTCTAATTTTGAAAGAATTCTGACGCAGATTTGAGAAGTTTATCCAATTACCCATCATTAAACTATTAATTTTGACCCTTAGGTACTTCCAAGGTCCTTCGGTATTATACAAGTATTTGAACTTTTCTTCTGTATAAAGTATGTTTTTATTTCCTAATTTCAAGAATTTTGATTTTTTTATTAATTTTTCTTTCAAAATAACTATGTAGAATATACCGTCTTAGATAAATATTTAATATTATATTATTATGGTATTTGTTCAGATAAGTCATTTAAGCGTACGAGATCGCGGACAATTAATAATATATATGATGAGTAGATTATCGTCACACGATGAATAAACTTCAAATTGAATTTTATTCATCTGTTATCAAATTCGAATGTAACATAACAAAAAATCTATATTAATTATTTCTAGATTAGTCTACTAACTAATATGACTTTAAACGAAAATATGAGATTATAAATATGAGAAACTAATAAAACTGAAAAATACGAACTAATATAACTTTAAATTAAGGTTAATTTCGTAATCATAATTTTCGTTCTTCTTCAACTACTCAATTAACCTTACATAATTTGAGACTTTTATCAAAGAGGGGCCTTAGGCAATCGTCTATGCTGCCTGTAGTCAGGGCCAGCCCTAATAAGCTTTGGGTAGAGCGAAGGGCAAGATAGTAATATCCCTTCAGAGGGTCCGTCGTGTTGACTACTTTTATGGGATGGTAAATAGAGTGAAAACCCGATTGGTATAAGTTGGATAGGATCAATATTAAAGGAAGAGAAAATAATGCGAAAAAAGGGTGAAAAGGGATCCTAAGCCCCATATTCATTGAGTTACTATGAATAGCTATGCAATCATGGGGTGGACAATCTGATGTTTGGAATTACCTAGGGCATAGCAACTCTAAGCAGGGACACCAAATCAGTCCCGGATTTCATCCAAGTCCTTCTCGATAATATTAGTAAAAAACTCTGATGCCTCGAATACCTCTTGGTGCCTAAGATTCTCGTTCGAATCATTCGAAGGGTCGCGAACCTCATTCACCCTGGAACGAAAACTATCCACTAAATTAGAGAATAGTAGGCTACCCCGTAAGTAGAGGGATTAGCTCTAGAAAAAGGTCGCTTCTCAGTGCGCTGAGATCCTTCAGAAAAAAAGATGCACATGGGGAAGAATCCCTAAG